ACACTACAGAAGGCCACTATATTGAATACATGCCACATTGTTAGGAAATTCCTGAATACAGACACACACACTGACACACTTATTTAATTTTAGTTTTGTTTTGGTTGCTATGCCTTGACTCTGGTCCGGCATAGTACACAGCCACCGGTGTGAACCGAGTATAACTCACAAAACCCAACATAATAATAATAATAATAGTCATTTTGTTTATAACATTAATTATTATTTTTTAATAGAGGTAAAACCCATAAAAATGATGTAATACAGTTCTGTCAGAAGAAAATTCAACAGTTAAAAACTAAACAAGTTACAGATCGGGAATCATGCATTTTATTATGGGAATTAATGATTAGGCTTCTACGACAAAATGGGGTAAAATTTTTATCATATATTAAATTCTTATAAGAAGTTGATAAATTATTTCTAAAAATGTTAAAATGTAATGTAATTTTATTATAACCAGATCTAATTTATTTATTTAATAATAATTTTCCAGTGTGTAGCAGGAACTGACGTAGCAGAATTATTATTAAACAATCATGAAATTTTAAATCCAGTATCCAAACGCTCAGCTGATGTAACACATGCAGATGGTACCCTATCAGATATAGGAGAATCTACAAAACAAATTTCAACTGCAGATACACCATCTCCAGATGAAGGAATAGTAGTAACACATGATAAAACAATTTTAAATTCATCAGAATCCATTAATATGGAAAAAGTTACACAAAAATTTAGAGAATTTCTTTTATTTGGTGGAAAACAGGTTAGATTTAATCTTTTATAGTTAGAATATTGATTTCTATTTGTGTTTATAAATCTCTCTCTACAGGATGCTTTAGAATGGGCTATGAAGCATAATTTATGGGGTCATGCTTTGTTTCTTGCATCAAAAATGGATCCACATAATTATGCAAATGTTATGAAGAGATTTGCAAATTCTTTAGCACCTAATGATCCTTTACAAACATTATATCAGTTAATGTCTGGTCGACAGCCAGCTTCTGTTACGGTAATAATAAATTTTAAAAAATCTCACTTAATATGTTTAGATTTAAATTTTCAGAAAAAAATTATATGTAATTTAGATGCTTGTTGAATTGTTCTTTTAATTATAATTGTAAAAATGTAAGCAACTGTTTGAAAGTTTCTTTACTTATTTATGCAATTTTGTATTTCTAGCGAATAATAGATGAAAAATGGGGAGATTGGAGGCCACATTTAGCTATGATACTTTCCAATCCTTCTTCTAGAACTGAAGTAGATTTGAGAAGTATAACAACTTTGGGTGATACCTTAGGTAAGTTTTGCAAATTCTACAAACTTTTATTTTTCTGTTTTAAATTTTAAAGATCAGTAATTTTTTTTATTTAATTCTTCTAGTTTTAAGAATCAAAGAAAAACTGAAATCAAAACAATTTTTATTCTTTATTTTACATTATATAATATAAAATAATTCAAGAAAAATATAAGTACTGTGTTGTTAATTATAGAAATTATACAATCATATCAAAATGTAGTTTGAAAGTTTATAGATAAAAAATATTGATATCATGTAAGATTTTATATTTGAACATACTCTAAAACCAAATTTTATAGTTAAAGCCAAACAAACTGCATTTATTATAATTATTAAATCTAGCACAAGATGACAGCATAACTGTCTACCTCTAGACAAATTTTTTAGTATTTAATTAATTACATAGCCATATTATAGCCTGGTAATTCTGCAGTTTATTTTACTTCAGAAATTAATGTTAAGGAGAGAAATTTCAAATCATGATGCCAAAGAAAATTGTTTAAAAAATAATAATAAGACAAAGGACAAGGTAGTAAAAGGGAAGAGAGAGTTGAAAGATCAGTGAGGAGAAAAGAAAATAAGATTAAACATTGATAACATGAGAATGTATATTATGAAAAGATGTGTCAAAAGGGGATAGATGTAGTTTACAAGATGCTCACTTAAACATCTATCCAGGGGCATAAACAATCTTTCCAGAATTGCAAAAGTGTATGCGTGTGGTGCATGAAAATTTCAATGCTAAAACAAAGGGAATCAATTTAAGATGATTTAACTTAACATATAAATAATTTCTGACTGTAAAGAATAAAGACAACATTACAGAAATTATTGAAATGTCAATTTCTGTAATGATTTATTTTGTTAGTGTTCAAAATAACCATATTCAGTGGCAATACAAAGGTGTAGATGTTGAACATAGTGTTATGGACTGCACATAGCCTTCCTGGTGTTTCTATTTCATAGGTCTGTTGTACTCCTTTCCAGTTCTCCAACATCATACAGAACTGCTGGATATGCATTATACACCAATGCTTTTAGATGATTCCACAGGAAAAATTCACTGGGGATCAAGCCCGGAAAACATAGTGGCCATGGAATGGGATTGTGTTATCTTATCCAGCAGTTGCCAAACCAATGTGAGTCACTGATGCATATTTGTCTGGGAATGAGCTATCATGCAGTTATATTGGCCCTGTATAATAACTCTTTCTATTTTCAATGCATTTATTCCTGATTGTCTTAGATCTGAAATCTTATCTTTTTTATTTCTTACTCTGAAAAATATATTTTTTTCCTATACAAGGTATCCAATTAAAAAGTACCAAAAGTGTTGTAGTTGTGCTAATGGCAAGTCATCAAGCCATTCATCTACTGTTGTGTTTAAAATGTTCAGATATTGATTTATTTATAGTATAATCAATGAATACAAGACCAAGAAGTTGTGTGGATTTTAAGTTGAGCAACTTCTCAACTTAAATTCCACACTAGATGTTTAGAGTAAAACATACTTGGTGTTTCATATGTTGCATGCAGCACAGTCTGTCCATTCATGCATATTGTGAGTTATACATTCCATTCTGGGAAACAGTGTCTTGTCAGTTCATAAACTGTGGTGAAGGAGTTATGGTTGGTCATGCTGTAAATTTAACATCATGTTGTACCACTCAAATTACTGTGTGGCATTCTCTGCACATTGTGTCAGTTGCATGTAGTAGTAGAAAGTATACATGCCATGGCAATATAATTTCTGATGTCTTTGTGTTTACTGCAGTCTACAACCTAACCTAACAACCATACCAATGCTAGAAAGATCTCTTTTACTCCAGAATAGGTTTTTAATTGGATACCTTGTATAGGAAAAGGAATAATATATTTTTCAGAGTAAGAAATAAAAGATAAGATTTCAGATCTAAGACAATCAGGAGTAAATGCATTGAAAAATAGAAAGAGTTACTATGTAGGGCCAATGATTAGTGTATTAAAATTAAAAACGAGGATAGAGAAACATTGAAATGATATGAAGAAGATAAGATCAAGACTAGCAAGGGATTTAAGAATGAATTGGAAGCTAACTAGACTGCTGTATAAGCAAGAAGATACTATAAGTATAAGAATAGTGGAACAAATATATGTTTGTCTTTATGTGGAAAGCTGAAATTATGAAGTGATGAACAAGAATGATATAGGTGAATTGTGTGTGGTACATAGAGGATTTTTTACAATTTTTAATGACACATAGCTTTTGCTTTACCTAAACTTACTATTGGATGAATTCATATTTGTAATTTAAAATCTAGTAGTGCATAACTTGCATTTTTTTTTCCTAACCTAACTTTAAAACATGAATAATCTGTAGATTATGCACTGAAAATTATGGTACATAAAATGACTAAAAATGTAGACATTACACAACTTTATTATGTATTAAATAGTAAGAAAAAAAAAATGTTATTTTATATANAAATTGATTATTATATTTTATTTAATTGATATACTTTTATTTTAGCATCTCTTGGATGTTTATCTGCTGCTCATTTTTGTTACTTAATGGCTCAGCTGGATTTTGGATCTTACTCTAATAAATCAAGCAAACTTGTATTATTAGGATCAAGTAATTTGTATGTATTACAGATAAGTTATATTCATAATTTTTTATACATTTTTATTGTATTTTATGTTTACTAGTCTGTTATTTTTTGTGAATACTTTTAGTGTTATTGTTGATGTTTTTTGTTCTAATATGAACTTTTATTTAATATACTGAAAAACAGAATATTTTGTTAGGTTATCAAATATATTGTGTATTGTAATTGTTTTGATAAAACTGTTTTGCAAATGTACTGTCATATTAACAAACTTCAAAGGCAGGTTAAAGATTTCATATAGTGTTAAAAATGTGTAATATATTAAAATAAATTCTGTTAAAAAAACATAATAATATATATAACATAACTAGAAAGCTATAATCACACATATTTCAAATTACAATAACAATCATAATTTTTTGGGTTGTAGTTTTCAAATTGCAGACCTATAAATTCCCACTTGTGTCTGTCTGTCCATCCTTAATCTCAAGAATGGAATTAGATAGATGAAATTTGAGACCAGATATGGAAATCTTGGGAGCTGGAGGTCCCAATTACCTATATAAGAACTTCCCATTAAACTGGAAGTCACATGATTTCAATTCAGAAATTTTTCCCAGAATGAAATTAGATAGATGATCAGCATTACTCTGTTGTTAGCAGGAAGAATATGATGTACAGGGGCAAGACACTACTTAAATCCAGAGCATATATCTTAAGTTAATTAAAAATTGCAGCCTGTCATTGTGATGATGTCACAATAAATAAATGTTCATATGTGTGAGCATATAAAAATAAAGATATAAAATAAATGTGTTTACAGGAAACAAAGATGATGTGAATATACAACTTTAAAAAAACTTTTATAATTAATAGCATTTGTATAAATAATTATATTGATCACCTGCAATATATTGATATTAATTGGTATATGTTAAAAATCACTAGCTTTTTCAATAATGACTCTTTACTCATATTAATTTTCTTATGACTAATAACACTGAAATGATTTCTATTGTACTTCAATGTATTTCATACTTCCTTTATAATTGTTATGAATTAATATACTTATAGTAATTCATAACAATTTAAAAATATTTAACAAGAAAGATAAAAACAAATTTTTTTTTATGGGTGCCAGATAAAATATCTAGAACTCAGCTTATTCTGACCTCTAGAGTTGTTTGAATTTTTTTACTGTTATATGCTACTTTCTAGGGAGTATGAAGTATTGGTCTATATTATTTTTCAGATAAAAGTCCTACATATGCCCAATATTTTATGCATTAGTTTCAATGCAATATATTAAAAACATTTGAAACTAATATATTTGTTTCATTAAAATTATTATATTATCAGTTACTATCGAGATTATGACTACAGTGAGGTCAATACAACAACAAAATTTCATTTAGTGATATTTTATTTTTATTTTTTTGAAATATAAATGTTAGTACACAGTTATAAAAAAAATTAATAAATTACATCCTAAGAAAATTGTGTCAGTGTGCTTTTACAAAAAGAGGGACCATCTCTATAAAAAGTTTCAAAATTACTGATTTAAAGTAATTACAACATCATGTACAATATTGTCTAGATTACCGTAAATTTCAGGATTTATGAATTGGTAGTAAANTTTTTCGCCCTGACAGGGTGTGGCTGAGTTATCCGGACTGCCGGGTTATCGAGTGCCAAGTTTTCGAAGCTTAAATATAGAGTGGCTTCAGCAAAGTCTTCTACTGACTCAAACTATTTTCCATGCAATAAAATTTTCGATGGTTCACTAATCAGACCATCAATAATGTAATTAATTAAATTTTCATCACTGAACTTCAAGCTGAGAGGATTGTTTTCCAGAATTAAGGTTTTTGATTCACTCAGAAAGTAGTAATTTGCATTTAAACAATAGCATATTTTACTTGAAAATCATTTTGTGTTTCAAATAAAATATGCTATTTTATGGAAATAGCTGCATTCATTTACCATACCATTGAGTTTTATAGTTACAAGATGAATGGTAGCTTCATTCCAATTAGACTGAATGATGATTTTATCAAGCATTTGGAGAAACTGTGTAATATTTTCTGATAAACCATCAAATGTTTATATTAATGCATCATGTCTGATAGATAAATTTTGTGTTGAATGCTTTGTTTTAGTAAGTTTAAATTATTATAATTAATATATCAATTATCATATTTTCTGTGCCTGTTGTAGGAGTTTTATCTTACTGATACAAACTGTTTACTAACAGATTCATTGGCATGATGGGGATAATGTTATCTATATCAAAGCATCTTCATATCATAAGACAGAGTTATGGATATAGAAAACTGCATATTGTTTCATTAGATATACAGTACCGACAGGAATTTGAACACCAATCATGTTTCATAAAATAAATAAAAATCACTGGCTTATAATCAGTCAAACTATGTATGTTTATTATGTAATGAGTTCAATAAGACTTAATTTAGGAGATAACATTACTTGGAGTAATGACAATGGTGTACTGTCAGGCTAATTTTATGATGTTACTTTTATGTAATTTGTTTAAATAATGGGCAATGCTGGTTAGCACAACCTCTGATTGGTTATTGGACATGCAATGTGTATGTCCAGTAATCAATCAGAGGTTACTTTACATGTAACCAATCATTCAACATGCTGATTAGTTATAAGGTAGCCTGTGAAGGTATTTAAGTAGGTATATTAGCTGTCATAAGTGTTTTGAAAAATTATAACCTCATTACTAAAATGATGAGAATTTGACTATAATAATAACTTAGGAAGTAGAGACTAAGATAAAGTTTTATAAAAACTAATCATACCCCTTATTTTATCATTGAATGCATGTATTACAAAAAAATTTGATGCTTTTTTTCAAATATGCAGTCAACTGCTAAAAAATATAACCTCTTGTGAAATAAAACCTTTTATTTTGACAAAATGTATCAACCAAATAAGTTTTAATAATTAATTGGACCTCCATTATGCTGAATAAGATGAAAAATTCTGTTTGGCATGCTTCTGATGAGATTGTCCAAAACTTCTTGTATGTTGCAAATTATGCTGTTTGAATAGCTGCTCTGAACTGTTGGACTGTGCCATATTGTTGATCACTAGCATAAACTCTTTGAACTAGAATTCTCCAGATATTGGGTTGAGATCTGTTGAACATGGTGGATGGAACATAACTGTGTTCACTTGTAAACCAGTTCCTTATGCTGGTGCTTGTATGGATGGAGGCATTGTCATGCATAAATTTCAGAAAAATATCATTGTGATCTTCAAGGAAGAGGATCAATGCATCCTCCAACCCTTCCTGGTAGATTTCACTATTCATATGACAAGATACAAATGCCAGTTTGAGCTTCTCATGGAACTGAAAGTTTCCCCAAACCATCAATTTGCCACTTCCAAAGTTTCTTCTTGAGAAATACTGTTGTTCCTTTCATATATCATGCCAATATGATTTTAAACCATCTGACTCATCTCGATTCCAGTTATATTGTCACTCCAGATCCTCTACAAAAATATTTATATAAATTAGTAGATGTAAATTGGTAAATTAAACTAATGTAAGAAACACTCACTGTTGTCCAATCTGTTGCCATATACTACCAGACAAATTCTAGATTCTGTGCCTTGTCAATTACAGTAATGGCTGGTGCTGTCTTCATTTCCTTCCAGACAATATTTGGAGTCTGATTTAACACACTTCGTATAATGTCTTAGTACACATTCAAACAGAGTTCTTACCGAATCTCCTCACAAGATGCTAAATAGTTTGACACTTTGCGTACAATGTTATGCTTGTCTTTATCAGGCAATTTTTGTTTGAGTCCAGAACTTTTTTGTGTTATATTCTGATGGATTTTTCAAATAATTATTAAAGACACGAGATGACCAGCCTAATTTCTGGCAATTTCTTAGTTGCTCTGTCCATTTCCTGAAAGGCTTCAATTTTTTCTTTGTCAGACATCCTTTTGCTACATGACATTTTTGTCTGAAGTAACCAATATTATGTGTGTGTCTGTTATATGATAAAATAACATTAAACTCAAGCAAAATCTGGAAATCAGTACCTTTATTTTCAGTGAGGTTATATTTTTTCACAATTGTAATTGGTGCATTTTTATAAATATGCAAATTTTTGTAATGGAAACATCCAATGATATACGGTAACAAGTGGTATTAATGATTTTCTACTTAGTTTTTATAAAACTATATCCTAGTCTCCACTTCTTAAGTTACTGTTACAATTGAATTTTCATCATTTTAGTAGTGAGGTTATAATTTTTCAAAATACTATCATAGTGTGAAGCATTGTGACCAACAATGAAAAATGCCTTGTAAGTCAGGAAGTTCATCTATTAGCACTGAGAAATGTGTAGTCATTTTATGCTTTGCATGAACCACAGTCTTACAGAATGGGAAGTAGTAAGACAATTGTATCCAAAACTGTGTCCATTGTGCATTAGAGAGGATGAGGGACACTGGAAACAATTCTGTCTATCCTTGAACGGGAAGACCCAAATCCACATCAGCTCATGAGGAAGTTTATTGTCATCCTTATATGGTGTGAAGCAAAAACTTGTCTATGTCTACAGTGAAGTGCCAATTGCAGAAACTAGTCTCCAAGGTTGAGTTGTACACAAAAGCCATTGCTTTGCTGTAGAAATAAGACTGAATGATTGAATTAGGCAAAACTGCACAAGACCTGGTCCATAGTAGAATGAAGTGGGTGTTGTGGATTGATGAATCAAAGTTTGAACTCTGGACAAAACTTTAGAATATTTGTTCTCTGCAGAATAGTTTGAGACTGAAAGAAGGCTGTATGGTTCCTGTAGTGAAGCATGATGGGGATAATGTTATCTATATCAAAGCATCTTCATATCATAAGACAGACAACGTTTATAGGATTGAGAGTTTATTGAACAAACAAGGCTACTGTCAAATACTTTTCTTCCATGCTATGTTTTCTGGTCTTTCAACAAGATAACCATCTTAAGCACATAGCCAACTTATATAAGTGATGTTTACAGCAGAAGAGCAGAAAGTAGTAGGTGTTGCTGCAACTTGTGGAATGGCCACCACAGAAAGGAATAATCACAATGTCCCAAAGCAGGTGCTTTGGGACATTGTGATTATTCCTTTCTTGAATTTTCTGTCTGCAATGTCCAACAACTCTGGATATCTATACAAGCTGCATTCATGGTTAACATCCTTTCTACTTACCTGGACAATCTGTTGGAGTTTATGATAAGAGTTTGTTCAGTTATAATTAAAACCTGTGGAAGATCTTTGATGAAAGCAATGTGTAACAATTTTTATGTTAAATTCTTCTCTGGTTATTGTTGACACCTGTAAAAACTTGAACTAATCACAATAAATATAATTAACTTAAATTACCATGTATTTTGTTGTTGGTCTTAAACTTTGTCAGTAGTGTATAATGATGTAAAACAAATAAAATATTTTTTAGATATCATATGGCTTCATAATATCAAAGTTGTTTTAATAATTGTAATAGCATTTTTAGAAATTGTTCCATATTCAGCAATCTACTTAATTTTATAATGAAAAAAATTTTTTAAATATTTTAAATTAATCTATACCAATGGTTCCCAATTAGTTGTACGCGTACCCCTGGGGGTACACGAAATTGCATGAAGGGGTACGCGCGGCAATCTAAAATCAGTCGATTTAAATGCATGAGATGAAGCAATTAAAAAATAATGGGTGGACCATCAAAAATTCAGCAATTTACAACATGATGTCTAATGCACAAATTTGTTTATTTATAACTAAAAATATTCTTGAAATTTCATAAAAAAAATGCATTTGTGACAATACCTAAATGAAATTCTTGTGCAAGAAACAAAAATTGTACAATTATCATTATTATCATGTCAGCGAAGTGGAAATAAAATATTTACTACCATTTTGCACAACATACTCTGCGAGAGCGGATTTTCGGCCATGACAAACATGAAAACTAAACATAGTCGCCGACTTCAACTCGATGATAACTCAGGACTGAAGCTGACCAAAAAGCAACCAGATTTTACAAAGTTGTGCAAAGAAAATTGTGCACATTTGTCACATTAAAATTAAATAACCATATGCCATTTTCATTATTATTAGAATTGTATTTTAAAGGTAATAAATGTAAAAAAAACTTATTCTATTTTTCACTTGCTGTCTACCCACAGCTTCGCCTGCATTATATCGAATTTTCTCATGGGAGTAAGATATTTTCTCACAGTAAAATGTAGCCTATGTCCATCTCCAACATGTAGACTATCTCCATGCCAAATTTTATTAAAACCTGTTTAGCAGTTTAGATGCGAAAAGGTGACAGACAGAATTACCTTCGAATTTACAATATTAGTATGGATTAATATGAATTTTTGCTATAAGGGGTATGCGAGTTTGAGCTTTTTCTTGAAGTGGTATGCAGGAAAAACTAATTGAGAACCACTGATCTGTACTAATATAAAGAGGTAAAGTTTTTAAGTTTGGATGTAGGTGGTAATCTCAAACTACTCATCTGATTTCAAAAATTCTTTCACCAATATTTAAAATGGAACTTCAAGGTGGATATAGGCTGTATATTATTTTGTTAAACATTCATATAAATTAAAAGATATCATCTGGGATTAAGGCTTTTATGTCCAACAGATGGCGCTAACTCCACGAGTACTGTTTGCATTTCTGTGAGGATGAAGTAAAGCAGATCATCTTCTATCTATCTATATAAATAAAAATGTAAGATTTGTTTGTTCCTACCGATTCCTTTGAAATTTTGACACAGCGTTGGATTTGAATACGCACGTGTTTTTATATAATATACATGTTGAAATTCCCCCCACTGGGGGGAGAGGAACAGGATTAAGGCTTACTGTGAAGAACTTGGCTTCTATTATACTATTTTAGATTCGGTTTTTTGCGTTTTTGATTGTGTTTTAATAGGGTACATCAAGTGAATGTACACTAAGAAGGGATTTTTCGAAAAATACCCTCCACGGGGGAAGTGTTATACATTTATAATAGATACATTTTGAGCCACAAGAACACGTGGTGGGGTCTGCTAGTAGTGTAATAAATTTGACTTTTTACAAATGTTGTATGATATAAATCAGTATCATACAACATCACAACGGGGGCGATATCGCCCCCATGTGGGCATTTTTCCATGTTGAGGGGGCAATTAGTAACAATTTATATTTTGGGGGCGAAAAACAATTTTCTGGGCGATATAGTAAAACATTATATTAAGAATAATTAGATATTTTATTCGTTATATTGTACAATAATCAAACAAATAACATTATACTAGTGACTAGTCTATTCAATGCAGTATGAATTTGGCGTTAGCCTTGGAGTGAAGGGGGCGATACTACGTAACGGTTTTATTGAAGGGGGCGATACTATGTTGAAGAGGGCGACGATTCGTTAGAGGTTGAGAAACACTGATATAAATAGTTTAAAGAAAAAAAAGAAGTGTAAAACTTAATAGAGTGATCTGAAATTTTATTGAAACATGTAAAAAAATTATCACAGATCTATGAATACAGGTATACCTCGAGTTACGTCATTTGTCAAAAAAATGTATGGGAAAACAAAAATCAAGTTTAAGTCATTTTATTCAACTTTACGTCCATCCGCCACAAATATTGAAGTCATAATATCACTAGAAAAGTGTTAAAGCACATAAAATCATATTAAAATATGTACATTTACAGTAAATATTAATATAATCATCATAAATTTTAGAGAATGAAACATGAAAACATCTGTGTTTCTTCTTATTTAGAAGTCTCGTCTTATTTAGAGGTCTTTAAGTGCTCAATATTGGTGTTTTCCACGGTAGCTCCAATATTTACTGTTTGGCATCATTGTCAGTGCCACTCGATCTTGGTAAATTTAATATAAATTAAGTTTATTTTCTACTGTTGCAAGATAATTTTAATAACTGTATTTGTAACTTAACCTTACAAAATCATATTTTATAATGTCTTAGAGCAAATCACATTCACAAATAGTGTCTGTGATGTACTGTAAATATCACCCAAATTGTAAACATGTACATTTACAAGTATGTACTGTACAGTACATACATGAATTTGTAAATTTAGATTACTTTTTCTGTACTATATTAAAAACTAAAATTTATTTGTTTGTAAGCTTAAAATAGATTCTTATTAACCATATATTATTAAAAATGCATTTATAAATAAAATACAGAACTGGGAATGGTATTTGTGGTTTGGCCTAGTGACAAATAAATTCGACTTACATCGCCTCTCCTGGAACTAATTATTGACATAAGGCGATGTGTACCTGTATTGTGATTACTCTGAATATTATATTTTTATTTTTATTTTCACAATGATGTTATAGAAAATAAAATATAATTTCTTTTATGTTTAGATTACCATTTCAACAGTTTGCATCTAATGAAGCTATACAGTGTACAGAAATTTATGAATATGCCCAAACATTAGCAAATCCAGAATATGTTCTTCCTCATTTACAAGTATGTACATAAATTTACTTTCTATTTTAAATAATTTATTTTGTAAAAATCTAATTTATTAATATTTTATTTTATTATTTATTAATTATTATTTTGTACAGGCATATAAATTTATATATGCTACTAGACTTGTTGAATATGGCTTCCCTCAAGAGGTAGGTGATACTTTATAACAATTCATTTTGATATTGACTGTATTTTAAAATTTTATATATAAATTTCAGGCACTTCATTACTGTGAAATGATATCACAAACATTTCATAAATTAAATGGATGCATATCTTTAGATCTAATAAATCAAGTATACAATGTAAGTACACTAATAAAAGTTTCTAGATTTTTATTTTTGTAGATATTTTAACAATTTTACAAATTTAAAAATAAATATGAAAAAATATTTAAATATTGGATATGCAATATTAAATAAAAATATTTTCTTTAAAAGCATCATATTTTGTACTAGACTAAAATACACCTTTCAAATTATATTCAATTTGTAAAGAATAAATATTGACTTTACAAAAATTCAGTTAAACTATACTGTATAATGCAGTGGTTCTTAACCTTTTCTAGTTCATTTACTTCTATAAAAATGGATAATTTCACATACTCCTAGATATCTGTAAACTGAAAACAGTTAAATAATGTTGCCAAATAGCTTTCAACAATTGCTTCATAATCATTGATTTTTAATCATTAATTTGCAATTAAAATACTGTGACATTTATTTTAGTAATATAGACAGAGTTTGTTAATAGAAAGATTAAGATTAAAATAACTGAACTTGGACCTTCAGATTAAAATAACTGAACTTGGACCTTCAGATATGTATAAAATACTTTAAGGTTTGTAAAAAAAAAAAAGTTTAAAGTTAGCCACTTTTATGGACTTAAGTGATTCAATATTTTCCAGGCCCAAGTATAAACTTCTTTTAAATTGGAAAATAGCTGATTTAAAATTGTTTGGTAGCAGTTAGTTTTTCTGTCAGGTACCTACTGGAAGCACTTTGGATATCTCATGTTGGGAAATACTGATATAATAAATATAATACTTGATTCTGATTTGAAAGAATAATTTAAATCCAAATTTTAATTTTTTTTATTTTAAATAAATATTAGGTTTATCATATAAATAATTTGGTATATTTTATTACAAAACATTTTCCAGACTGGACATAGATATTAAACAGAAATTTATTGTTATCAATACAATATTGTTTTAGAATTTTATATTATTTTAATGTTACTTTCATTGCCATAAAACTATTTTATCTCATCTTTAGAATTCTTTTATGAGCAATGTTGTTTTCATCAGTTTTTATAGTTAAACTTCTTAAGCTAAATTGCACAAATATTTTTTTGTTTAAATCATAGAAATTTAAATATATAAATATCAGAGAAAATTTCTAATCTGATATTTATATCAGATTGATTCAAAAGTTTCTGAATACAGATGCAAGATACGAAACTTTATTGATATTAAAATGCAAAGACTGTCATTCCTTGAAATAAAGGTGATTGTTAGCAATGGTCTTGACCCATCTCTTTGCAAACTGGTGGATTCCTCGGCAATACCACTTGGTTGGTTTCAATGCCAAAACTCATGAATCCCGTTTCTGACATCATTCAATGTATTGAAGGAATGTCCTTGCAGAAAATGTGCCAACAATTGGAAGAGGTGAAAATCTGGAGTGAAGTTAGGATTATATACTTAAGGGCAAACTTTGATCCCCTTCAGCTCTTCTAACTTATATTGGACCACACTGAAATGGTGTGCCAGAACATTATTGTGCTACAGCAGTGCATGGTATGTGTTTTCAATTAAGCAATATTGGATAGTGAGTGTGCAGGACTTCAAACATTTTTCCCAGTTGCTCAGCATAGAGGTTGTCGTCCACCAGTCCAGCCATTAGGAATCAGTTTCCAATGTACTAGATTATCCAAATTCTACCAGTAGTCATCTAGACCAAGGCTTGGCTATGAGGCTTGTGTTCCCAAAACTGAAGTGGTAGAACCATTCAGCTGCAGTTGTCTTGTTCGTCAGGCTGGGCTTTTAATTTTGCAAATCTTTTCTGCTGCTACCCTTGCACTGAACCATTGTCTCCAGTAATGATGCAACATGCCTTGAATCTGATGAGTTTTTTGTCAGTCATTCTTTGTTATGGAAAACAAAATTCACCAAAGGAATGAACTTATCAGCTCTATAAAACAATAGTACATGTTTTGATGATGATGCAAATACCAGCTCATTTGGATTCACAGCAGTTTTGACAGTTGCTAGAGATCTTTTTCAGAAAAGTGTTGTCAGTGTCCAGTAACTTTTGATTTATCCTGATATCATTAGCCTCAATAAAAATCTGTTAAGGATGAGAAAATAATCATAATTACATTTAATATGCTATATAAAAAAAATAATCACAAATTAATTTTGATAAAATTTACACTAAAAAAGAAATTATTAAATATTGAATTTAGTAAATCTGTTTCTTGAAATTTCAACAAAATGTTGAATATTTGAGACATAAGACATATATAAAATAAAAATTATACATACATACAGGTAACCCCTGTATAACACAGCATTTCTATAGCACAGATTCACTCTAACACGGTTTGAGAATTGGTACCATCCTTCGTATAACATGGTACTTTTATAGCACGGATTTACTCTGATACGGTTTGAGAATTGGATAAAACCCTCGTACAACAGGAAATGTAATAAATTTTTACATACTTAAGTAATAATAGTTCACGAAAATTATTATTTTCGTGAACTATTAGTACTTAAGTATGTAAATTTTCTCTTCTCGCCTTCTGTCGATACACGTGGTCCNAACCATCAAATGTTTATATTAATGCATCATGTCTGATAGATAAATTTTGTGTTGAATGCTTTGTTTTAGTAAGTTTAAATTATTATAATTAATATATCAATTATCATATTTTCTGTGCCTGTTGTAGGAGTTTTATCTTACTGATACAAACTGTTTACTAACAGATTCATTGTGATTATTCAAAGGATAATATTGCATTTGCACATTATTGTCAGTTGTAACTTTGTTGTAGTCATCATCAAAATGTATCCTGTCCGTCTGAAACTGCTTGTTTGATTGTTCAACATTATATTAGTATTTTATTATACTAATCTTTCATTGTTATTGTCTAGACCAGGGATGTCCAACCTGCGCCCCACTGAACCCCGAATTTTTTAAAGTACATTTTTATTTATTTTGGTAAAGTATGTTGTAAAAATTATTCTCGTTTAACTGTATACACTTTGATCTTGTAATGACATAATTGGCGCAATAAAATTGTTTTATCTAGAAAACAATTTTCTTGCGCCAATTATGTCACTTGTTTTTCATGCACAAAAAGAATTGTTCACAACAATTCTTTTTGTGCATGAAAAACAAAAACTGTTGAAAGAAATAGGTTGTGTGATTCCTATTTAACTAACATTCTTACAATTAAGACTAGTACCATAAAAGCAGATGTTGACAATACTATAAAAGGAAGGCAGTGTCAAAAATTGCATTGAATTTATTTTTATTTTGTGTGAGCATAATTTCTTTTTTTACTGTCAATAAATAATACAGTATTTTTTGTAATTATATATATTTGCTATTAAAATTTGATATTCACATTTTGAACTTTTTAAAAAAATATATTTATATAAGGTACCTTTGTGGCCCTCTGAATATATGTAAATTTCTAATTTGGCCCATTAGGAAAAAGGTTGGACAACCCTGGTCTAGACACTTGACTTGGAAAACATTCTTATTGGACTGCAATTTGAAAAAATTGTAGACCTATAACTTCCCACTGTCTGTCCACCTGTCCATCTTGACTTTCCTTAATCTCGAGAATGGAATTATATAGATGAAAGACGAGACTAGATATGGAAACCTTAGGGCAGAAAGGCCCAATTAACTATATAAGAACTTCCAATGCAAACTGGAAGTCATGTTGTTTCAGTTCAGAAATTTTTCCTGTAATATGCTAGATAGATGACTGGCACAACTCTAATGTTAAAGGAAAAGTATGATGTACAGAGGCAAGCCACTACTAATTGGAAGTGGAGAGTATATATTTTAAATTAAATACAGTAAAAATGTGATTAAAACTTAAAGCCAGCATTGTGACGATGTCAAAATAAGTAATTGCTCATTTTTTAACTAGATGTTATCCAACTAAGGCAACCACTTGCTTTCTAAATTTCAAATTTCTAGGTTTTAATTTTTCAGTGTTCTGTCTAATAATAATGCAAATTTTCAAATTAACAGATTTGAGGAAACCAATATAAGAAGAATTTTATATATGGAAAATAACAACAAATGTTCATTTATGACTTTGCAAATATAAAATGCATTTAGAAATAAAGTTTCCTAATAAAATTTAGGCTAAATTAAAAACATATGACACTTGTTTAATTTCTTCACACTTCTGCTGTAAACTGTTTATAAAGGTGCCAAGCTTGTCATACTTGTGATAATGTTGCCATAAATCAGTTGAAGTTTATGCAAGTTCTTATCAAAAAATTGCAAAAAAAAAAAAAAATTACTATTATGTTGCAACAATTTTTTAGATGTATTTTTAATTTACAGGTGTTAGCTTTTAATGTCAGAAATATGTAGATAAGAAATAAATATTTTTAATAAGCACAATAAGTTGTGACATTGACATAAAAACTTCTACAAATTTTCTTCAAACTTGCCCCAGTTAGCAGCAGATTGCAGGATTTGGCAACTCTGACTTGTGTCTATTTAAAACTATCCATAATTATTAAAGATGATAATGTTCATAGTTGGAGCAGCATCCTCAACTTCTCAAACAAATATTTTGATATAGTCTGCTGTAATATAAATGGCAGGAGTTTAAAATAAAGGGCATTTTACTAGACTATTTTGAAAGTTGTACATTAGCTGGCATATTAATTAAATTAATTTATTTATTTGCATTAAGGCTAAGCCTTGTTACAGGGGGTATTTTTCAATGATGTTATTATTATACATTTGTTATTATTTTTTTCATTTGATATACATAACATTCAAGATTATCAATAATATTACAATAATCGTTTAGTATTAAATTTATCAATATTTTCCTTTTTAAATATTTTACTTTAAGTAACATATTTAGTAAACACAACAAATTTTATCAATTTATTACATATTTTTTAGTTCTTTGGTGACTAGATTAAAAAAACCATTAATTTTATACATTTGATTTAACGTTAGATTGTTTAATTTAGTTCTAAAGTCTTGATTATAGTTCGTATATAGTATTTCATTAATTTCATATTTTTGATAATATTTCTTTAGTCCTTCACAGTCTCTTATTATATGGTTCAAAGAATAGTCACTTGATTTACACAAATAACATCTGTCCTTAGTAAAATCAAAATAAGTATTATTAATAAACAATGAATATTTATTAAGTCTTAATTGCATTAATAATCTTTTAATATTCATATTGATATTAGCAGTTATGATGTTTGAAGTAGACGGGATGTTTAGAATATTGATGTACCATGGATGATATTTAGACTGATATAATAAGTTTTGATCCATTATTATTGATTGAGAAAACGCTGATTCGATCATTAGAGAGTATCCATTTTGCCAATTTGTCTGAACTATCAAATAATCTGTTTGATACACCAAAAGTTTGTAATAATTTATTGAATTTATATTGCCATAGATTCTTATTGTTATCAAAGTTAAAATTTTGATTTAGCATTATTTGATGTAAGAATCTTATATTATCATCATTAGATTGTTTTAATCTATAATAAAATTTAATTAGTCTTTTTAAATAAAACGGAAATAGTTGGAATCTGTTAGTTTCGGCAGGAATTGCATAACCAGGAACTGACCTTTCTATTTTATATAATTTTCGTAAGTAAATAACATGGAATTTTTCTAAATCATATAATAAGTCTATTGCCCAAACAGGGCTTGCATAATATATTGAAGGGATAATTAAAAGGTTGAATAGCTTCATTTGTAGTTTTATATTCATCATTTTTAAAGTTGCGCATAAATAAATAGTATTGTCAAAGTATTTATTTTTTTAGTTAAATTTTTCAGATGCGGTTGAAAATTACAATTCCAATTAAATGTTATTCCTAAATATTTTATTTCATTTACCAAGGTGAGAGGTTGATTATTTAAATAGTATGACCTTTCTTGTTTTGGAAGTTTAACATTATTTCTAAATATTATTATTTTGGTTTTTGAGATATTGATCGTTAAAAACAGGGAATTCAGATAGTTGTTTATTATACTTAGTTTATGCTGCAAAGCTATTTTTGTTGGTGCAAGTAATACAAGATCATCTGCATATAATATATAGTGATAATTTCTTCCAGAAATTTGAACACCTTCAGTGTCAAGTAGAAATAATTTATCGATATCATTCAAATAAAAATTAAACAAATATGGCGATAGTGGTTCTCCTTGTAGTAATCCTCGGTTTATAATTAATTCTGGGAATATCTGATTACCGTGACTAATGTTGATTCTGTAATTTGAAAATAATTTTGCAATTGAATCTGAAAATTTTTTTCCTGAGCCACATATTTTCAATTTATTGATCAAAGTTGGAACGTGTACTGAATCAAAGGCTTTTGATATATCTATGAAAGCAGAATATATTTTCCTGTGTTTTTTTTGTAAGTAAATTTGTATTATTGATAATAAGAAGAATAATGCCATTTCTGTTCCTTTTGTTTTTATAAATGCGAATTGAAATTTTGAGTTTAAATTAAGTTCTTCAGTCCATCATTGGAATCGTCGTGCCAGAATTGAAGTAAAACATTTTCGTAAAGTTGGTAGTAATGCAATTGGTCTGTAATTTCCTGGATCTTTTCTGTCTCCTTTTTTATATATCATTATCAGTTTTACTGTATTCCAATTTTCCGGAAAGTTTGCTGAATTGTAGAATGAATTAATTAATTCAAGCAATACCTGTTTTCCTGATGGTGGTAATAATTTTAAGAATTTAGCTGTAATTAGATCCATACCTGGTGCAGATTTTGTTTTCATTTTATTTATTGATGTTTCTAATTCGTCGTAGGTAATTATCGGATCTAAAATTTTATTTTCCAGATTCAACGTCTCTATAATGGTTATATTACTTATAGCAGTTATTCTTTTATAATAAAGTGACCAGGTTAAAAAGTCAATTTGCGATTGATTTTCAGTATTCTGTCTACGCAGTTCATGTACTGTTGACCAAAACAGAGTATTATCTTTATTTAATATTAGTCGATGTTCAAGATTTTTAAAATATTTTATTTTCTTAGATTTTAACATATTAAGATATATTGTCTTAAGTTTNATGGCAAGAAACTAAATGCTTTCATCTAAATGTCTATTTCAAGCATGGTAACATACAGCCCATCTAATGAATTTATGTGGCCCGCAATTAATCTTTCAACATTAACTACTGAAATTTGAATAGCTCAATGAAAAATTCTGACACCTAAACAACAAAGTCAACAACTCACTGTGCATTTGGAGTTAATCCTCCATTACAAATCTCTTAAGTACAGCATAGAATGTTGATAAAGCATGATAATGTGAAAAATGTATCTGTAATCTCTATGTACAATTTAGTCTCTATGGGATGACACCACAATGAGATCTCGCACCACCTCAAAATCTTCCTAGGACAGCCTGTGGTTCGGCCCGTGAAAAAAGTTCTCTTTCCAATTTGGCCCATTGGCAAAAACTGTTGGCAACCCCTGGTTTATTTTATCATCCATAAATCCATAGGAATCAAAATTATTACAATATGTCCAGGCATTAACAAAGTAACAGCTTTGTATAATACTATTCCTTACAGTGTGTGTCAAATATTTAAATATGAGTAACTGTTTTTAAAAATATAATTAAGAATAAACCAAACTGTCTTTTGGCATTAAAGTTGTTTAGTTTGAAAAGTTTTAAATTACAAACAAGTACTTTCGATGTTTCAAAATGTCATCTTCAGGTTGAGCATATATAACATTTGAATTACAATTTTTTAAAAAGTATGTTAAAAGATTCCAAATGTGCAGTTTAAATCTTAGCATGTAGTTTTTACAGAAAGTCAAACAGATGTCACATAAATGTTGTTATAATTTTAACATGTATATCTAAAAAAATATAAATAAATAAATTATGTACAAGTTAAATTATAACATTTTTCACATCTGTTCGATCTTTCTGTAAAAACTACACATTCGATTTAAACCATGCATTTGGAATCTTCTAATGTACTTTTTAAAAAAAATTTTATTTTAATACATGAAATTATTTTCCAGTTAGCTGATAAATTAAAATATCATGATCCTCACTTCACCCAAGGTCAAGGTGAATTAGAAGAACTAGGTGATCCAATTTGGTTAATTAATTTAAAGAAGTTATGTAGTTATACAGTGAGTATTTTCCAAAAAAAAAGTATTATTATTATTATTATTATTATTATTTGTTTTTATAATACCAAGAATTTAATATTATAGGATGATTATTCATTAAATTCTAATGTGAACAATGCTAATAACATTTCAAATGTTGTTGATTCATCAGTTGATACGTCTCAGTTTGTAAAGAATAATTCAGGTTAGTGTATTACTAACTTTATAAACTTTTAAAGTTAATAAAACACACTAATAACTTAGTTAAAAAAAATAATACTTATATAAATTTGCTTTTTATAGAAGCAGAACAAATTTCTAGTCCATTTTCTGAAACTCAAAATTTTTCACAACAACAATATCAGATGTGGAGAAAAGAAAATAATCAATTTGAACTTCAAACTTCTACTAATATTCAGGGTAAGATAGTTTTAAAAATACAGTAAACTCTCAATAACTCGGACTTCACATAAACTGGACAAATTTTTAAAAAATAGTAATTTAAAACTTCTTGACAATAAAAAAATTATAATTAACGAGTGTTTTCAATATCCAGAAGTCTTTATGATCCTGTGCATTATGTTACTGTAGTCAATAAGCTACTAAAGACTGTATATGGCCCTATTTTGTAGTCATGAAATTTTTTAGATCATTTCCTGTAACAATAAATTTAGCAGTATAACCTCAACTCAGTAAAACTTGTGTAGAGCTGATCATAATAAATACTCTATTGTATATTCATGTTGGAGAAAACACTTCACTAGCTTGGATTTTCATAAACTCAAACAACTTTCACTTCATATTAGTCTGAGGTATCAGGTTTTAGAAATTTGAGTAGTTGACCTTTGTTAAAAGAGTAAGAATTAGTAACAATTTTAACAAATAATACTAAAAAAGTCTATCAAAGATCTAATTAGAATGTTTGGTAAATTATTTTTTATCATAAGTTAAAATTATGACATAAACTATTATATTAATAAGTAGTCATATTTAAGCATGTTATGACAAAATATTTTAATAAAATAGATCAAAAATATTGTGTAGAGATGGACACTTTTCTAAGAAAACTTAAAAGTTGTAGCAAATTATGAAAATGGAAAAGTATGGTTTTGACACTTCCACAATTTTTATTTATTAGAATCCTCATAATCTTAGTATTTTTTGTTAAGCATATTTAAAATCTTAATATAACATCTACAAAACTAAAATCTATCAATACAACTATATGATGTATAATCATATAACATTTAAAAGTGACCATTATTCGTTTATAATTCTTCAGTATGAGTTTTCAATGATGGTATCAAAAAGAACAAGAAAATGAATAATTTTTAAGAGGAACTATAATTTATTTCAAATTAAGAAATAATAAGAATTCTTGACCATTTTGGTCAAATACCTGTTGCATCTTTCTGGTACTATCATGACTCCACATTCATAAAAGTTTTGCTTTTTGCTTACAAAAAACTGATCCAAGTGATTTTTGACATCCTCATTTGAAGTAAACATTTTACCATTTAAAAGCTTTTGTAAAGACCAGAAAAAGTAATAATCGGAGGGTGCCAAATCTGGCAAATATGGTGGGTGTGGTAGCTCATTCCATCCAAGCTGTAACAGTTTCTGACCAGTTACCAAACTTGTGTGAGATCTGGCATTATCATGGAGACACTTCACCTTTTCTGTTGATCAATTTTGGCCTTTTTTGTTTGATAGTATCACTCAATTTATCCAATTGACAGCAGTACACTTCCGAATCAATTGTGGAATTGTCCGGTAGAAGCTTGAAAAAAAGAAATTCCTTTAATGTATTCGATGTTGAAATTTTTATTCGTTGCCTGTGACGCCATGTTGAATTTTCGTCAATGTTAAGCCTAATTTTTTTTTTAAAATAATAATCATGTTTACTGTATCTTAAAAAATTATTTTTTTTATGTTTCACAAACAAAAAAAATATATTAAATAATATAGAAACAAAAAAATTATATTTTAAAAGTTCGTTTTAATATAAAAATCGTGACACAGTGACATCTAGTATCAGAAACGTTCTGATGTAAACACGAAAATATTCGGGATCGCCCACGCAGGTCAATGAGGTCAACATGAATATTTTCGGGAACAACGTAGGACAGTTTAAAATCCCAGCAAAGAGAGAATCTCTTTCTTTAAGAATGTGTGTAATCCATATATCGAGCTTTGAAATGAAAACCAAGTTGATCATAAAATGGTTGAATTTAATCTCTTAGCAATTTCTCATGTTGTTATACGTTTGCTTCAATCAATACCTTTATTTTGTCTTCTTTAGCTTCAACTGGCCTTCCAGAACGTGGTTCATCTTTAATATTGAAATTGCCAAGACAAAATTTTGTGAATCGATTTTGGCACTGTCATTCTATCAACACATCNTCACAAATGAAACTAAACCAAGACATTTCAAGTGATCATAAATGGTTGAATTCGACAAATTTTATCTCTTAGTGATTTCTCAAGTTGTTATTCGGCAGCTTGCTTCAATTAATACCTATTTTGTTTCATGAGCTTCAACTGGCCTTCCAGAATGTGGTGCATCTTCAATATCAAAACTGCCAGAAAAAATTTTGCGAACTAGTCATGACACTGTCACTGTCATATACGTCACACAATTTTTTTTTGCTTAAATAGCATTTTTACCTTTTTGGTAATAAAAAAGTAAAATATGCTAAAAATGCAGCTTTCAATTTTCAATATTTGATGGGACAGAAAAAAACAATTGCACAGAATCAAACAAAATTTTTTACAAATAAGCCTTGAAATGTCAGCTGTCAAAATATATAATGACAATATGGTTTAAAATGAAATTGGCAGGTAAAAATACAACTAATTCCTCTGGTGGTAAAGAAATGAAATTACTTTCCAAACAACCCAATAGTTTGAGAAAAATGTATCAGGTTTATTTACTTACTGTATATTATTGTTTTCCAGTCCTGTCATCTGCAGTATATAAGCTTTCTTTCATGAACTTGAGCTAATGGCAAGAAACTAAATGCTTTCATCTAAATGTCTATTTCAAGCATGGTAACATACAGCCCATCTAATGAATTTATGTGGCCCGCAATTAATCTTTCAACATTAACTACTGAAATTTGAATAGCTCAATGAAAAATTCTGACACCTAAACAACAAAGTCAACAACTCACTGTGCATTTGGAGTTAATCCTCCATTACAAATCTCTTAAGTACAGCATAGAATGTTGATAAAGCATGATAATGTGAAAAATGTATCTGTAATCTCTATGTACAATTTAGTCTCTATGGGATGACACCACAATGAGATCTCGCACCACCTCAAAATCTTCCTAGGACAGCCTGTGGTTCGGCCCGTGAAAAAAGTTCTCTTTCCAATTTGGCCCATTGGCAAAAACTGTTGGCAACCCCTGGTTTATTTTATCATCCATAAATCCATAGGAATCAAAATTATTACAATATGTCCAGGCATTAACAAAGTAACAGCTTTGTATAATACTATTCCTTACAGTGTGTGTCAAATATTTAAATATGAGTAACTGTTTTTAAAAATATAATTAAGAATAAACCAAACTGTCTTTTGGCATTAAAGTTGTTTAGTTTGAAAAGTTTTAAATTACAAACAAGTACTTTCGATGTTTCAAAATGTCATCTTCAGGTTGAGCATATATAACATTTGAATTACAATTTTTTAAAAAGTATGTTAAAAGATTCCAAATGTGCAGTTTAAATCTTAGCATGTAGTTTTTACAGAAAGTCAAACAGATGTCACATAAATGTTGTTATAATTTTAACATGTATATCTAAAAAAATATAAATAAATAAATTATGTACAAGTTAAATTATAACATTTTTCACATCTGTTCGATCTTTCTGTAAAAACTACACATTCGATTTAAACCATGCATTTGGAATCTTCTAATGTACTTTTTAAAAAAAATTTTATTTTAATACATGAAATTATTTTCCAGTTAGCTGATAAATTAAAATATCATGATCCTCACTTCACCCAAGGTCAAGGTGAATTAGAAGAACTAGGTGATCCAATTTGGTTAATTAATTTAAAGAAGTTATGTAGTTATACAGTGAGTATTTTCCAAAAAAAAAGTATTATTATTATTATTATTATTATTATTTGTTTTTATAATACCAAGAATTTAATATTATAGGATGATTATTCATTAAATTCTAATGTGAACAATGCTAATAACATTTCAAATGTTGTTGATTCATCAGTTGATACGTCTCAGTTTGTAAAGAATAATTCAGGTTAGTGTATTACTAACTTTATAAACTTTTAAAGTTAATAAAACACACTAATAACTTAGTTAAAAAAAATAATACTTATATAAATTTGCTTTTTATAGAAGCAGAACAAATTTCTAGTCCATTTTCTGAAACTCAAAATTTTTCACAACAACAATATCAGATGTGGAGAAAAGAAAATAATCAATTTGAACTTCAAACTTCTACTAATATTCAGGGTAAGATAGTTTTAAAAATACAGTAAACTCTCAATAACTCGGACTTCACATAAACTGGACAAATTTTTAAAAAATAGTAATTTAAAACTTCTTGACAATAAAAAAATTATAATTAACGAGTGTTTTCAATATCCAGAAGTCTTTATGATCCTGTGCATTATGTTACTGTAGTCAATAAGCTACTAAAGACTGTATATGGCCCTATTTTGTAGTCATGAAATTTTTTAGATCATTTCCTGTAACAATAAATTTAGCAGTATAACCTCAACTCAGTAAAACTTGTGTAGAGCTGATCATAATAAATACTCTATTGTATATTCATGTTGGAGAAAACACTTCACTAGCTTGGATTTTCATAAACTCAAACAACTTTCACTTCATATTAGTCTGAGGTATCAGGTTTTAGAAATTTGAGTAGTTGACCTTTGTTAAAAGAGTAAGAATTAGTAACAATTTTAACAAATAATACTAAAAAAGTCTATCAAAGATCTAATTAGAATGTTTGGTAAATTATTTTTTATCATAAGTTAAAATTATGACATAAACTATCCACATTCATAAAAGTTTTGATCTTTGCAAAATATGCCGAAAATGCTGCTTTCGATTTTCCATATTTGATGGGACACCAAAAAAAAAACAATTGCACAGAATCAAACAAAATTTTTTACAAATAAGCCTTGAAATGTCAGCTGTCAAAATATATAATGACAATATGGTTTAAAATGNTTAACAAATAATACTAAAAAAGTCTATCAAAGATCTAATTAGAATGTTTGGTAAATTATTTTTTATCATAAGTTAAAATTATGACATAAACTATTATATTAATAAGTAGTCATATTTAAGCATGTTATGACAAAATATTTTAATAAAATAGATCAAAAATATTGTGTAGAGATGGACACTTTTCTAAGAAAACTTAAAAGTTGTAGCAAATTATGAAAATGGAAAAGTATGGTTTTGACACTTCCACAATTTTTATTTATTAGAATCCTCATAATCTTAGTATTTTTTGTTAAGCATATTTAAAATCTTAATATAACATCTACAAAACTAAAATCTATCAATACAACTATATGATGTATAATCATATAACATTTAAAAGTGACCATTATTCGTTTATAATTCTTCAGTATGAGTTTTCAATGATGGTATCAAAAAGAACAAGAAAATGAATAATTTTTAAGAGGAACTATAATTTATTTCAAATTAAGAAATAATAAGAATTCTTTTAATTATAAAATTAGAAGAATGAAATTTAAGTTATTTTATTGAATATGGACAAAAGTGAATATGGACAAAAGTGAATATGGACAAAAGTTGATATTAAGATTCATGCTTTTTGATACTAGTGTGAGAATATGTTCAAGGGATATTGCTCTCTTGTCGTCAGATTGGGAGGATCTGCTCACTGCATTGAAGGATGGCTTTTCTATGAGTGTTGAAAAGATGCGGAGACTAAACAATCGTAAAATCACAGTCTCCTATGTCAGGACTGACACCAGTTAATCTATTTTTAGCAGATTAATGCACATTTAAATATTATTAAATAAATTTAAATAGGAGAGCCTACTTCTCTAATGAGTGGAGACTAAGAAACTAATTAACCAGACCAATATAAAAGCAACAACAATATTTATTAAAAGTCAAATGAAACAATTATAATGAAATTACAAAATACCGAGAGATTAAATATATGCTAATGTCTAATCTATGCGCGTGAGAGAGAGTTTACATAACTCTACATTTATACTACTTTCACGGAGGTGGAGGAGATCAAGGTGAAAATGTGAATCTTGAGCATAACTTCTATGTGTGCATTATAAAGTATTGCCGACTTCTTATGTGGCTGTCCTTTCTAGGGTATCTCTTCATCACTGCTGCGCAAGTTATATGTGGCACATTCTATCTTCAGTGAACTGCATGAAAAGGCAGGAAATCTACCCCTTTTTATAGGGACAGCTGAGTAACTGACTCATTGTCATAGGACATTGAGTTAAACTTTAGTCAGTCTAGAAAGGAAGTTCGTTTCCTCCTTTTTCAACATCCTTTTTGTTAAAATTTTTATCAAAGAAATAAAATATTTTGTTATATTTTATAGTAATTAATCTAATTAAACCACTGATCTCACACTAGCATTAAAGAGTAAGTATAATAGAATGATCTACTGTTTTAGATTAGAAAAATAATGAGAAGTTATAGCAGGTAATTCTTAAAATAAATTAAAAGATTGTGTGAGGATAGGGGGAGGATATAAGATTGCTAGAAGAGTTGCATCATACTGTGAATTTTTTAGATAATAATAATTTTACCAATAAAATAATTATTTTTCTTGCTAAGAATAAAATTTTAAGTTTCTTAAATCAAATATTTTAAATAGTTATATTAAGTATTGTAAAACTGTAGCATTTTTTTCTTGTAAGCTAAATACAAAAATTTTGAAAATGTTTTATAATATTAAATTTGCATATTTCTAAAACTAATAGTTATTTCTTGTAAACTTATTGCTCTAGATGACATTGTATATGCCAGACATGGGCAAATGCGGCTCTTTTTGAGTTACACACGGCTCTTGCTGAAAGTGTTAATTTCTGCTTTTTATTGTTATTTTTACAATTTTATTTCGACAATTTTGTGAAAATATGTTTATTAAAAAAATTCAATATTTGTTTTATATTATATAATAAAATTGCATTACAGAACTGCAGTACAGAAATTAAAAAGTACAGGATTGCAGTTCCCATGCATTTTGCAAACCCTACATTTCGGCTCCCACTGAACTCTTGCTTTCCCACCCCTGGTATATGCAGTGTTATATGATATAGGTTATCAAATCTGAAAAATAACCATATCATATATGGTTTTATTTTCTACAAATAATTAAATCCTGTTGGTTTCCAAAATATATAACAATATTTTGTATATAATTTTTTAATATTATGAGTACTTTGCTGAATAAGTTTCTAATATAATTGAAAAAGAGTTTATATGTAATGTAATTTAAGTGTAAAATGCCTGCTTAAGAATGATTTTAAAAATAAATAAATAATACTAGATTTTCTGATGATTTATTCTACATTGTAGATTATAATGCCCATCAAATAAATAATGAACAACAATATCAAATTAACTATTCACAATGGAATCCAGAAAAACCAAATGTGGAAGAAAAGTCACCGTTAGTTGATTGTATAGAAACAAATACTACTGAAATACCTTCTCAACAAAATATTACAAATATTGATTATTATAGTGCTAGTCTTCAACAGGTAAGACTGTTTTAATTGTTTTAATAAATTTTCTGTTGATTAGGGTTGGATGAATTAGTAAAAGTTAGATTTAGTTTCTCAATTAAGATGGACAAACATGAAGTAACTAAATTTTGAAAAGCCAACTCATTTTTGGTATATAATATAATATATATATATATGAATTTTTTTTGTTTTTTTGTTTTTGTTTTTTTCAGTAATGATCAGATATTTTTATTACTTTGTGAATTAGATTAAACAATATCATACTTTATGTAAACAGTACTGATTTTGTTGTTATTATTTTTCTTTTTCTTTTTTCAATCTTTGTTTATAGAGAACTATGAACTATAAAATAAATGGTAATGTTTTGATTATATTTTTTCATCATGTTTTTTAGAATTGTAAAATTTAAAGAGACTGTTCTGTATATTGTTCTTTCTAGAGAAAAGTTTGATAGTTTAATTAAAGTTTTGTTTTTTATAAAGATTGAAAGGTGAGATTGTTCCATAATTTCTAGTTTCAAATAAATCCTTTCATTGAAGGTTATTTTCATTTGTTTTTCCCCCACTTTATTGCTCGAGAATCCAAACTGTTCTGTGAGTGAATGTTTTGAAATGTTACAGTAAACCCTCTGTGATGTTAAATTTAAGAAAATTGTTAAAAGTATGTTATTTCAGTTAAGACACAGCATCATATCATGCTTCTGAAGTCACAAATTTGCATGTGAGAACAAGTCTAAATCACAATTCATATGATTATTATCTAATGTAAAGATATTTATAATAAATTATAAAAAAGAAATACTAATTTATATTAAACTATGAAGCTGTATAAAGAAAAATTTATTATTACAAATAAAACACTCAATAAAATATTGTTAAACTGTTATGATGATAATTTTATGTTAAATGAATGAGAGAAGAAAATTTTAATTGGATTGCTGAATGGAAATTATATTGTATATAATAGAAAATTATAAAATGTAAAATGAGAAGCCATAAATTTAATAAAATTAATAGAAATCTGTTTTAATCATTTACATTTTTCCCTCTTGTATCTAGTAAATCATATATCTGTTCACTTACTAAATGATTGACTATCTAAGCAGGATCACATTATTAACAAACTGAAGAAGAAAGTTGAATCTGTATACATTCCTTTACAATCTGTTTTTCTGATTTGAAAAAACAGATTGACCAAAATAATGTAGTAAAATCTGTGTGTGTCTGATCAAAATATTCATAAAATGATTCAAATATAGAACAACTCCATATGGAACAATTATTAGCATTTCATGTAGAAGTATTAGAAACAACAGATCAATTCAGAACAAACTGAACAATTCAGAGATAACCTGTTTAGACAATAGATTTTCAGAAGAATTATTGAATTACATATTTTAATAACGTTTTAAATCCAAATTAAGAATGCAATGCATTAATTATTTGTTCTATACAATTAATATTTTGTATATTTATACAGTTGGGCTTTTGATTGTCCAAAACAATTTGGATTGTGATTGTGATCTGTTTATCTTAATACTGGATTTTGATAAAGCAATTATTGAGGATTATATTTCAAAAACTGAGTAGTTAATATGAAAGTTACTAATAACAGTTTAAAAATTGATTTTTTTTTTTTTTTTTTTTTAATAATTTTAAGCAAGTTGACTTTTCAAAATGTTCTGTTTGAAATACATCAGAAATTGAAGTTAAACAGAATGAAGCTTATTAATGTAAAAGAGTTACTTGATAAATTCAAATTCAATCCTAATCTAGATACAGATTTAATAAAATTAAAAAAATATATGTATTAAAACTATTGATTAAATAATATATTAGACTTGTTTGTATATGTGCCAATATCAGAGATTTTTTATTTATTTTGTTATCATGCATAATAATTAAAAGTGCATTAATTTTGCAAAATATTGAATGTTCAAATGCTATAATTTCCATTATTTTTTTTAGGGTTTATGTCTGTGATCTACTTTCTTTTAGTATTGAGATGGATGAAATATGAAATAATAATTAATTGGCTGCACATTGCTTGTTACTTTGGTAGTAGAAAGCATAATGTGTGTGGAGTAAGCATTACAGACAGCTGAAAATAAATTTATGAATATATTAACTTGTTAAACAAGAATTGATATAAATTGTGATAAAGTTTGCATGTTTGTTATGCATGTTAAGTAACACTACTGTATTATTTAAGTTTGTCAATGCTTTTTTTAATATTTTATTTTTAGAACTGTCACAATATTTTAAAATGTTTAAGAATTAATTAATGCAATTATTTTTAAAAAACAAATATAGCACTATTCATACAAATTTAAGTGCAAAAAGTTTGAATAGAACTGATTTTTAGATTTATTATTAATTCATTGCATTATAAATTTTTTTTGACAGATAGTTTTAAAATATTTTTAATAAAATAACAGAATTTAAATATGAAGTTTTTGTAAAGTTGTATTTATTAATAATTTTTATTAAAAGCATATCAAAGTATAATTCATTTCAGCTAGCTTATAATACTAATTTTCAACTGCACTACAAGTTTACAAAATCAATGTATTGATTTTCTAAAGTTGCACAGTTTTCAAGGTTAAAAAAGGTACAGTAAAACCTCAATATTTTGAAACTTGAAGGACCAAAAACATACAACTTTGATTTGGAAAAAACTTCAGATAATTTGAAGGTTTTGTAATCCTTGAATAAAATTATGACATTATCTTATATAATTTTACCCATTCATTTATGTATGAGTTATAAGTAAGTTTTTGAAATAGAGTAAATTACTGTCATGTTCCAAAAAATTGGCATGTATTTGAATGTAAGTTTGTTATGTTTTCATTAAAGCAAGATCTGAAAATAACATACAAAAGAAGCTTAAGTGATTCAATAAGAATTATTATAAATTTTGTCTTAAGTTCAAGATTACAAAAATTATCTGATCTGATGAAATCAAGCTGTATTAATGACTAAATCTATAAGTACATATTTCGTCATGAATATGCATGTGTATTTAATGGACTGTGGAATTTTTGAAACAATAGATTTTTGGAAAAATGTCCAAAATAATTAAATGCAAAACAGATTTCTTCCATAAAAATAAAACATTTTTCCTTTGTTGGCAACGTGTACAATGTCTGAATGACCTTGAATGGATGTCTAATAAATCAATGTATAATTAATTATAATCAATCAAAACTTTATTTTGCAAAAGGAAATTTTCCCTTTTGTAGGGGGAAGTACATTTTTAATTTAGTAGAATACATATTATTAAAATAGTTAACAGAATAATAGTTATAATAGTTGTTTTGCAATAATTTACATTTTAGTTTTGTTTTGATATAATTAAAAATGAGTTAAATTACATTTCACTTTTTATATTAACAACAATAATAATATAAAAAGTGAAATGTAATTTAACTCATTGTTAATTATATCAAAACAAAACTAAAGTGTAAATTATTGCAAAATGATGTACAGTATAATTGGTGAAACCAAAACTGCTACTTGGGTGTGGAAAGTTTCTTATAAACATGATGGAAGATTTTGAATTAAACATTATTTTTGCAGATCACAGGACCAAATTATGAGTTTGAGTTTCATTGTACACACGTTTCAAATTATCTGAACTAAAATATATGCAAAACCCTATTTTCTTGGCCAGGGACTAGATTTTGAATACTTTGAATTATTTGATATCAAAATAGCGAGATTTTACTGTATTAGTGTGCACAGTTCACATTACCTTTTTTTAACCCTTTATATTAAGTCCTGTACATATTTTGAAACAATATACAGTTGTCCCTCTATAGTCCGATGTTTTTTAATCCGACATGCTCAGTAGTCCGACGCACCTCCCGTCAAGGTACCCGTCCCCGTTACGTGTCTGCTTGCACAGAAGCATGTCGCGATGTGAATCTCACCATCCAATTTTTACACGATGACACACATTTTGTGTGTTTTATGTGAGCAGTTCTGTTCGAACAGTTGGAGTAGAGAGTATTGTAAGTTACTGCTAGCAAAACAATGCAAAATATGTAATTATTTTTGGTAATCCGGACACTTTTGGTAATCTGACATACCTTTGGTCCCATACCTGTCGGATTATCAAGGGACAACTGTAATAGAAAAAGTAATTGATCTAAGATGATACAATCTGTTGCAATAGAATTTGAATATTGATTCAATCTCTTTCTGTATATTATTGAGTATGTCTGTAATGATAGAATAACATCAGCAATTTTTTTCTTCTTTCAGAATAACTAAATTGGGGGTTAGTGTTGTGTAGACAAAATCTTTAACATAACCTCACAAAAAAAAGATGCAGAGGTGTAATTTCCAGTAATTGGGTTGGCCATGGAATAGGCCTAGCTATGGGATGTTTTTCCTGGATAAATGTCCATCTGTTTGGGAAAACTTTATTCCACTTGGCATGAATATCTAAATCCCATGAGGAGGGCACCATCATGTTGTAATATGACATGAGATTACAATTCCTGAATTTGTGAAAAGACAGTCCATTAAATCCAAATAAACATTTTCATTGGCTGTTTTTATGAAAATAAAGTCAATGATTTTGTTGTGAAGCAATCTACACCACACATTCACCTTTGAACATATAAATGTATTCATATACCATGAGAGAATTTTTAGATTCCCTATTCAAATGCTGTGTTGATTAACTTTAATGAAGTAATCTTTCATCTAAATGGTGGAGAAACAACTGTAGTTAGGTATTGATTATCCTCATCAGTACATAAAAGCATGAAGTGTGCAAATTCACTTTATCATAGTTTATCATTTGGCTGAATTGTCTGGAAAATTTGTATTTGTACGCATACAACTTCAGTTGTTTGTGCAGAATTTTCAGTACAGTTGTTTCTGAAATATGCAATTCTAATGATGCATATCAAGTTGATTTTGACTTGATTATCCCAGTGCTGCATTGGTAAGCTTCATGCACTTACTCTACAGTCTCAAACAACATAGATAGTAGGCCACTGTGAG